CCCCCCACCCTGGCCATGAGCTCGCGCAGCTCGTCGGACAGGTTCTCCTGCTTGGCGCACTGCTCCATGAAGGCCTGGATGATCGAGTGCTCCGCTGTGCCCGTACTGGATCCAGCACTGCCCTTTGGCAGCAAGATTGCAGGCACATTCGGCGCCGCCGGCAGCGCCGAAGCTACAGGCGCCTCGACCTTCGGCACCCTGTTTGGCACACGTGCTGGGGCCGGCACTTGGGGAGGCTGTTGGCCCTTCGCCTCGCCTTTGCCTGCACCCTTGCCTCCATTCCGGTTGCCTGAACGCCGCCTCGGTGACATCCTCCTGGGTGACTTCGAGCGCCATGCATCGCCATTCCCGGACCAGGGGGTCTGCGACCAGCTCTGGTCGCCCGTGTAGGTGTCCGCGCAGGTCTGCCAGTGCTTTCCGCACGTCGGGCAGTAAACCGCGGAGTGCCGGTTCATGGTGGCACATTTGCCACATCTCCATGGTTGTGCCATCGTTGCAAGCCGACGGCTTGCTGCTCCCACCAGAACTGAGGCAGAGTGATGTCCTTGCAGCTGGGCGATTGCCCAAGCACGTCCGCCAAGTCCGCTTCTTGTCCAGACGTGAACCCTCGAAGCAACGTGCGGCTCCTGGTGCGATTCCTCCGTTGTTGTCGGTGCCAAGCTGGTTCTGCGTGCCGCGACGATCGCGGCGTCACGTCCACCACCCAGCCAGGCCGAAATAAACACACACAATACAAAGATACCCCGATAGAACATCCACCTGCCAGAAATCCCAGCCAAGATGTCGTAGAGGTCCTTGCACAAAATCGCAGGCGTCACCGTCCCAGGTGAGCCAGAGAAAAGCCAGCCACTCAAAGAAGTGGGGCAAAGAAGCCAGCCACTTAAAGAAGTGGGGCGAGACAGGAAGCTACCCTCGCAAGGCGTACAGGTAGTCCGGGAAGAAGGAGAGGCTGGGTGCTCTTGCGGTCCACCAGCTCTCACACCGTGGGCAACAGCCACACTTAGGGTTCGGCCTCACCCTCCAGCGGATCCGCGAACGGAAAACTACGCTAGGGGCTGCAGCCAAACGCCTGGGCTTAGGGTTTAGGGTTTAGGTTTTAGGGTTTTAGGGTTTGGGGTTTAGGGTTTAGGGTTTAGGGTTGAGGGTGTAGGGCTTAGGGTTCCAGGTTCACGGACCCTCACAAAAGTGTTGCTCGGGTCTTGATCATGCATCTGCCCAGGTGTACTGTGTGAACAACCGGGCGTGGCCGGCAATCACGGGGCAAAGGACGAAGAAGAAAGTGCACCGGGAAATATAACCTGGAATGCTGTCAATAGCCGACTGCAGATCACCTTCTTCCTCTTGAACTTGTGGATTCTGGGGGCATGAGAAGAAGTCGTACCACAGGAACAATGGCATTGAGAACAGCTTCTTGGTCGGCAAGCCCCTGCACGCCGGCATCGCCACCTCCGTGATGAAGCTAGGATGCACCACCTTCACCTCGAACATCAAGCGTCTCAGCGCAAGCTTCAGAACCTGTGCCGATCACAAGCAGAAAGCACGGTTCTTGGATTGCCGCCCACATCAGAGATGAAAAAAACCTCCACTTGTTATATAGGCCTAGAGTCTTCAAGCTGCTCACCGTTGGGATCCGGATGCTTGTCCGCGATCCACTGGTGTGAAACGAAAGCAGCGTTTCCCAACTTAGCTTCGTGCTTGACGAGAACTCCTGTTCAGGGAGACCGTTTTGGGGTCAAGGAGCCCCAAAGCCACATTAGGCTTGAGCGTTTCGAAAGCGTGATGCTTTTAGGGTTGCCTCCTGCATGGCAGGGTTTAGGGTTCAGGGTTTAAGTGCGTACTACTGGCAATCCTCCTCGGAACCCTTTATGCGGCATCCCGTCCTTCTGCCTTTAGCTCCTCGTGTGGACGGACCCGCGTCATCTTCAACACGTCCTCCAGCGGCACGGTGTACATAGGGAAAGACAGCTCCGTGGCCGGATCCTCGCCTTGCACACAGAGTGAGAGAAGCTTAGGGAGATATACTATGTAGTACTAATCACAACAGTAACATTAGTAAGCTTAGCAATAACCACAATCGTAATATGTAATAGAGATTCTTAACTACTAGTGGTTTATTAGTATTCTGGTTACATGGGGCTTGGGGTTCTATTCCGCAAACAGTGTGGTACAGGCCATGGGCTTCCGACGTTTAAACGAAACAGAATCGTTGGCCCTCGGACGCTGATCCCGTCCCACTATCCCGAAACCCTGACCCTAAAACCTAAGCCCTAAACCCTCGATCATGTACAAAGCGTCCGCGCGGCTTCGCCGAAAAACCGGACTCTTGGGTTTCGGGATGGTTTAGGTTGTCGGGTTTAGGGCTGAAGGGTTTAAGGGTTTAGGGTTTAGGTTTTCGGGTTTAGGGTTTTAGGGTTTAAGGGTTTAAGGGTTTCGGGTTTAGGGTTTAGGGTTTAAGGGTTTAGGAGTGTGCATTCCAGTTGATGAACCCGGACTGCGGGATGTGGCACTGTTGGTCCTAAACCCTAAACCCTAAACCTTAAACCTGGTCTCCGGATAAATGGTTGTCGTTTCGGCGGTTGGTTGCTTTTGCCTCCATTGCTGAGCGAATTGCTAGGCAGGGTTCCTAGAAACATCCAAGCAAGTTCGACATGGATTTAGGATGCAAAATTGTAGAGACATGTAGAGACATGTAGAGACATGTAGAGACTGTAGCTGGCTGTCAACGCTTTGATCGGGTTTTGCCTTTTGCTTCGGCCTCTATGTGCATCTCTTGGGGGGTCTCCGTGGCTGGGCTGGAGCTGGGACTGCGGCTGGGCCGAGCGAAGCTGTGCTGGGCATGGCGGTGAAAAGATGCAATGAATGTTTATGTTCGCCTTGAAACCCTAAACCCTAACCTCTAAACCCTTTTGAGCACGGGCTTGGATTGTATGCCGGCAAGATGCTCGAGGGCCAGGGCAGGGACTTCCAAACCTCTAAACCCTAAACCCTAAACCAGCTTGGGGGTTTGGGTTTAATTTTTATGTTCGTCTTGAGGACTTGGGGTTTAGGGACTAAGGGATTTCTAGGGTTTTGGGTTTTGGCCATATGCTTGAGCCGTGACGTGGGTGCATGCTCATATAAAGTGCAAAATTGATGACAAAATGAAGATGGAAAAAATATATGTTTACCTTAGTGGAGTTGGTAAACCTTCACGTGAACCGCACAAGATGCTTGAAGGGCGGCATGCAAGGGCGCCAGACCCCAAACTCTAGGGTTTCGGGTTTAGGGTTTTGGAATGACCCAAATAGCACATACTTTGGCCCGGAAGTACTTGTATAGGGAGTACTTTAAGGCCAAAGTATGTATCTGGGCACATAGATCCTGAGGGTTCATTGCATTGCCTAAACCCTACACCCAAAACCCTAGACCCTTAAACCCTTTTTTTGCATCCGGAGACCCTTAAACCCTAGACCCTTAAACCCTGTAAATCTGTAGGAGTAGACC